TGCAGCAGTAGCACGCGAGCGCCTGGGACGGGACGAGGCCTCGGCAGCCCCCGGCCCCTGGGCCCAGAGCGGCGGAGGGCCCGCAGCTGGGGGTGTTTCAGCCCGGCCCCCCCACCCCTCCCGCGCCCCAGCACTGCGCTTCTCCTCCCGCTCGTACGAGCGAGCGAGGGAGGGAGGCAGCAGCAGCAGCACAGACAGAGTCGCGAGTGCATGCTGACACCTGCCTCTGGCGCGGCGGCTCCGAGGAGGTGTCGGGCCACGGTTCAGACGGCCGGGTTAGGCTTTGGGCTTCGTGGCGGGACTGGCATTCAGTGCTGCAGCAGCGCTGATGCCTCGTCCCTGACGGCGCGCACGGTCAGGCGCGATGGCTGCTGTCCTTCGTGAGACAGCCGACACGTCATCTCCACCCGTGACGTTGCAGGTGTTGAAGACGTGACAGTATAGTTAACTCAGACGGTCAGTGTTGGGCTTGAGAGTGCTGATAAACCAATAATTAGAGATGAGATGATGACGTTTTCTTTTTGAATAGAACTAATACACTATTTTGATGTACCACAGGTAGATTTTTCCATAACCTTATGGAGAAAAAGGACTTTGAAGCATGGCTTGATAACATTTCTGTTGCATTTCTTTCTCTGACGGACTTGCAGAAAAATGAAACTCTGGATCACCTGATTAGCCTGAGTGGAGCAGTCCAGCTCAGGCACCTCTCCAATAACCTAGAGATCCTCCTCAAGAGGGACTTCCTCAAACTGCTTCCGCTGGAACTCAGTTTTTATTTGCTAAAATGGCTTGATCCTCAGACCTTACTCACATGTTGCCTCGTCTCTAAGCAGTGGAATAAGGTTATAAGTGCCTGTACAGAGGTGTGGCAGACAGCTTGTAAGAATCTGGGCTGGCAGATCGATGACTCTGTTCAGGACCCTCTGCACTGGAAGAAGGTTTACTTGAAGGCTATTTTAAGGATGAAGCAACTGAAGGACCATGAAGCCTTTGAGACCTCCTCTTTAATTGGACATAGTGCCAGAGTATATGCACTTTACTATAAAGATGGACTTCTTTGTACAGGTAGGAACCTCTGGATATTTTATGATGCTTAAGTATTTCTCATTTTCCCCAGCTTGCCATTTACTTCACAGCAGTATGATGTGCTTTATCCAACCTAAAACAACACTATTAGTGTAAAGTAAGTTCCGTAAAGGTATCCACAATGATCATGGAGGCATCTCTAAGTTCACTGGTCCCTTCAGTAAAAAGGAGCAAGGAGATTTAATGCCCTTGTAATTATGTTCAGCAAGAGGGTAAAACTAACAGAACTGCGTATAGTGCTTGGAAATGGCAACTGCATTCAGGAATACAAAAGTGCTGTTTTGCCCCACAGAAAGGGAATGCTATCCACGTTCAGGTGCTTTGCTCAAGTTAACCAGTTGGTGTTTATAACATACAGTCACCATAAAGGGGGCAGGGTGGAGGATGGTCTGCTTCACACAGTGGAACATGGCAAACTGTTATGATGTGCATTATGTCTGTCGGTCAGTGCAGTCCTCTGGGTACCTTAAATGTCTGTTTGAAGGCTTATAAACTACTTACCGTGACTGCTTGCCTGTATCACTCCCTGGTGGTGCTGCCTGCCCCTTCCTTCATAAAGACTGCAGCCACAAAATGATGGAATTTAGCAAAAGCATCTCAGAATGTCGAGCTGCATTTCTATAGGAAGATCGGAACCAATTCCTGTTTCGTTTGTTCCTATATTAGATACATAACTACAAGAGTGAAGAGTAAGGAGGTTAACATTTACTGCTAGAGCATGCAGCAAAAAAATGTTCCCAGCAGCAATTCAGAAGCCCATCGCTATAATTGTCGCTTACTCTTTAATGTTATGAACCATAACAAGTGTGACACTAGTCAAATAAGTTGGGAGGACTGACCTTACTCCTAGGTTTGATCGGTACATGAAAATTGCCACAGTAGCTTTGGTTCTCTTCTCTGGTCTAGTCTTTCACTTCCTTAGCCAGCAGGACTAAAATTGATGAAGAGGAGGAGCACGTTGTTTTCCTCTGAAGCAATTAGTGTTGAAAACGGATGTAGTAGGCTCCAGAGTTTTGTTTGGCTCTCCAAAACAGGTAGGTCAGCAGACAGTGTAGGTTGGCTGAGGTATTTTTGGAGAAGACAGGGAGGGAATTGGAATTGGCAGGTGAAAAGGAAGGAGCTAGGCTGAGGATGGCTAACTACCACTTCCATCTTCCCTTTCAAAAGGATTGGATGCCTCTTTCCTATTTGAAGTGGAACTAAAAGTCCTAGCTGCTTCAGAGTGCAACAGATTCTGGAGCTTTCCAAAGCTATGCCTGTTCAATCAGTCTATTCAATTCCAGAACATCCCTGTGCACTTCCAGAAGACACTGGCATATAGGAGGGTTTGCTCTCAACTGGGACACGACTTTCTGGAAGTTGTGTTAAAGAAGTGGATGTAGGATGCTGGGAGGCCAGGCACCCAGCAACCAAACTGAAAATAACATTTACTCTCCCACTTGGGCAAGGTAGAGCAGGTACTTACTTGGTCAAAAAACATGACATTTAAGATGTAACTGGGTGAAACCCAATATTATACTGGGGAAGAGATGCCAGTTCCATGCTGCCCCCTAGCCTGTTCTTTCAAATTCTAGGTTCAGATGACTTGTCTGCAAAGCTGTGGGACGTGAGCACAGGGCAGTGCATATATGGCATCCAGACACACACTTGTGCTGCAGTGAAGTTTGATGAACAAAAGCTTGTGACAGGATCCTTTGATAACACGGTAGCCTGTTGGGAATGGAGCTCAGGGGCCAAGACACAGCACTTCAGAGGGCACACGGGTGCAGGTATGTCAAGCTCTCCAACTCAAATCCACCAGTCAAATTAGGCTTGAAGTCACGTTTTCGCCTAGAGTCTTAGACCATTGCATAGTAAGCCCTTTATTTCTGCTCTAAGCCTGTTAATTCAGTATTTTGGATTGCTTTCCATCTTGGCTCTTTTGGGGTAAAACACTGCCAAAATAGACTTGGAAATAGGGATGCTGCTCTGGCACCTCTCCTTGGCAAAGTCAAGGTGTAGCCATGCTGGGCCATGGGCATGATACACCCTGTGCTGTTCTAGCAAAATAACTAAATAGTTGGTGTCTACTCCAGTAGTGGAAACCCAGCATGACAGGCAACACATTCCACTTTAAGCTCCATATGTCACAGCGTGCAGTAGGTTCTGTGGGAGAGCCACCATTTTTTTTTCTTTAACACCCCCCCCTCCCCAGCTGGAGACTTCCTTCTCCCCAACTCTAGAGCCTCTCCTTTGTACAGGTTAGTTATTTGAGCTGGGAAATAGGACCATGGTTTGTCCCAGAGTCATAGGGTGTCTGGAATTTGGAGCAAGGTTCTGGACCACCTGCAAATGGAACAGCCTGACTAGGTTTACTTTCATGCATAGATTAATCGTGTGACAAACAGGTTGAGAGAGACTACAGGCTTTGTACAAGAATGAGTAACCTTGGGATACAAGCTTTTGGGGACCAAAATAACATTTCTGTATGCAAGTTTAATTTAACTATTAGATCTATGATGATATTCAAAGGTTGAGGTTACTAGTCTTGGCCTAGCTATCAGATGTCCCCTCTACAGTGATGGGCTATGTGGACACTGGTGCTACTTAAATCAAATCCTTTTTGCTTGTAGTTTTTAGTGTGGATTACAATGATGAACTTGATATTCTGGTCAGTGGCTCGGCAGATTTCACTGTGAAAGTATGGGCCTTATCAACAGGAACGTGCCTGAATACACTTACTGGACACACAGAATGGGTCACAAAGGTAGGGTTGGATTGATTTTAACAGTATTTTGGAAAGCATTTGTGAAACAAATTTGTTACTTACCTGTACCGTGTCTTGAGCATTATGCTTTCATAGAGGTATGTGGACTGTTAGTAGCCCTGCAGAGAAGAGATAGCATAAGGTTTGTGGGTTATGGTCCATCAAAGAACACTGAT